GGGGGGGGGGGGGGGGGGGGGTAAACTTCGAGCATAGCAGACTGTAAGCTTTGGGGTCGTTGTTGATGGGTTTTCAGTGGGAGAGGGCATGTTCTTAGGGGTTTAGGGCAGTTTCGGGTCTAGGGTGCATGAGCCGGAGGCATGAAACTCTGGCGGCATAGGATGTATTCTGCGTCTGGTTTCCGAACCAGACTCTAGGGCTGAGGGTTTAGGGCAAGAAACTTCGAAAGTCCTTGACCCAAGACCCTCAACCCGAGTGCACCTAGATCCTGTACTTTAGGGTTTAGGGTTTAGGGCTAGATCCTGTACCCCCTAACCCCCAATGCGCCAACCTCCTCAACGCGAATTGTGTATCGTGTGCCCGACGCCCCACGGCAACACCCTTATGCTATCTTACACTCTCAAGTAGACTCCTAACCTCTTAACCCCCGAACTTCTTCAGCTATCTTTAGAATGGGCGGCATTAGATTAAAGCAAGGCTTGGGCAGCCCTGTGCCCACTACCTCCACAGCACGCAGTGCCTTGAGCACCGGGGTCGGGAACTCGTCGATTGTCTTTCGCTTGTATGGTTGGTGTTCGGGATTTGGGGAATTTAAGTTAGAGGGGGGACCCTAATCCATATAAGCTTAAATTGACCCCTTTAAACCCTGAGCCTTATAAACCTAGAACCCTATAAACCCCAGACGCCATAAACCCCAGACACTATAATCCCTATTTTGGGCTTACCTCTGGGGTTTAGGGTTTAGGGTGTGTTACCTTTTGCCTTTTTGGGGTTACCTGAGTCTTTGATTATAGGGTCCTAATCATAATAAAGGTCATCCAACAAAAAGTACTACATGTAAGGGTCTAGGTATGGTTTAGCAAGATGTCGACTCGTTTAGTCACACTTCGTTAGGCCTACTTAGTATAGCTATATACAGTACATCACCCGAAACCCTGTCCCCTATAGTATGTGGTAGATGGCATTTTTGGGCATAGTTTCTAGCTTTCATTGTTGCCTCATACCTCTTCGCAGATAACTTTGGAGGACAACCGTTGATGACACTTAGGCTCAGATTCCACACACATCCCGCGGGAAAGCGTGGGAAACTCCGAAGCCTTCTGAACTTTACTTATGCACTGAGACCCTCCCACGTGGGTTTGGTGCCTTCGAAAGTCCTGGTTGAGGTCTGGACGCTCGAAGGCTCTTCTCGTCAACCCTTCAATTACCAGCTACCCTGAGGGTCCATGTACATATACATTGGCCTGACAGTAGCCCCTATATAAGCACTTTGTACTATTTGGGTACATGGTCTCTGAGGCTTACATCTGGGGAGCACGGCCTAGATGTCACAGAGAGGACGGCGTTCAATTTCTGTGTTTAGGGCTATTAACCCAGAGGGTCCATATATACTACTATTATGGAATTAGGTCCCCAAAACCATAATAGGGATGGTCTTTTGGGGCCTAATTCCATAATGGTAATGTATATGGACCCTCTGGGTAACGGCTATGAGAGCCTGGTCCTTTGAAGGGTGTAGCAGTTCGATGCTGTGCGTGGGACTGTGGTATCTCCAGCTTAGAGCCACTGGAAAGCCATGACTCTGTCGGCCTGCTTGCGTGTTGTTTCCGAGGTATGTTTCACTGTTTCTCATTTAACACTCTCTATATAATCTCTGCCTAGACGCTTGAATGTAGTAATTTTTTGGGGTTGCCTCACTTTCTTATTATAGGGGCCTAACCATAGAAAGAGTCAGCAAAAAAAAGGTACTACATGTAAGGGTCTAGGTAAACCCTAAACCCTAAACCTCACTGAGGGGTTGAGGTCGCTTCTGGGATTGGCTCGAAGTCCCTGGGCTAAGGACCCCGGACAAACTCCCGATTCCCCTGGCAACCATGATCCCGAAACCCTAAGCTTATGGAGCTTTGGGTTTAGGGTTTAGGGCTAAACTCTAAACTTATGGGGCTTTGGGTTTAGGGTGTATGGCTAGACTCTAAACTTATGGGGGTTTGGGTTTAGGGTTGAGGGTTAAACTCTCAACTTGAGGCACCACATAGCGCTGCGTTTGGCAGGGCGTTTGAAATGGGCTCGCCAACCCCTTCTCGCTCCTGAAGCCCAGCTTCTGAACGTTTGCAATTTCAGGGGTCCAGCAATCCAGAACTAGCCTTGAGATTTTCGTGCGAGGCAACTAGAGTATTCGGCAATGTGGAGAAGTGGCGGCCAGTGGATGCTGGGTGGCAATTATCAACTTAGTTCCCCAATACCCAACCTTTAAACATTTTAGGTTCTTATAATCTAGTAGCAATCTGAAAGTTCAACCTTTTATTTCCCGGGCTTATTGGGGAAGTAAGTCAATAATCTGGGCGCGGGGACGGTTGTAATCCTAAACCTAAACCCTAAACCCTAAACCCTAAAGGGTTGGTGAGCTTTGTGGCTCCAGGTTCTCTTGTTCAAGTGCCGAGTGTGTGGGATTTTGAAGCCTTTTCCATCTACCTGGACCCCAAAAGTATGTAAAACAATAGCCTTTTATGGGTCTTGGGCCATTATTTTACCTACTTTTTGGGGTTTAGGTAGAGTCTAGAGGTTGCGTAAGATAGGGGCTAAGGAAAATAGTTACCGATACTGTTTTGGTGGTTCCTTGCACTATACTGTTATAGTATAATGTACACCAAAACCCAGTTGAAATCATTGATGTCCCTACATTAGGGTGGTTACATCAGATTTGGGTGTACCCTAAACCCTAAACCCTGAACCCTAAACCCTAAACCCTAAACCCTAAACCCTAAACCCTAAACCCTAAACCCTGAACCCTAAACCCTAAACCGAGGTGACTCTTGAGGGTTTGGAGGGCTCCGTCTGAATCATGATGTCATAATGGAGGGGCCTTAGTAAATAGACTAGGGATTTGGGGGTTTATTATACCATAGTTATAAGAAGGAGCCCCCGAAACCCCATTGAAATTATTAAGGCCCTTATACTAGCTCTTGGCTTTCTTGGCTTTAGCCTGCTTGCGTTGCTTTCCATCTGAGTCCGTGGGGCCGACTCAACATGTGTTTAGGACTTGGTTTGTGGTCCGGTCCAAGAAACTTGAGTACTAGCTTGTCACAGTGCCTCAAAAGTCGGGTGCAGAATTTGTTTTAGGCTCCGGGGTTTTGGGGCTTCAGGCTTGAGGAAGTGGTGAGCTCAGGGCTGTCAGGGTTTGGCTTTCTCGAGGAGCGTGCGTTGCATGGTACAAGCCATCGAGCAAGGCTGTTGGCAGTAGCCGAGTCGTTCTAGGTTTTAGATGCCACGCGCAGCTTAGTGGAGCTACGTGCCTTTGCTTGCATTGATTATGTTTGCTGCCAAGACGCTTTGCTTCATGCCCTGTGCTTTCAGCCCTGTCTTCCCGCCTGCTGACCAGTTTGGCATTTGCGATCCCGCCCTCTCCCCTCGGTCTCGCAATCAGAGGTCTTTCAACATTTTGTTTGCCTTGGGGACACACCTTTGCTACCCCCGAAGCCAAGTTTTTTTTTTCAGATGTTCCCGTTCCCTTAGAAGAGCCCCGCCCCAAACCCTGGACCATCAACCCTAACCCCAAACCCTAAACCCTAAACCCTAAACCCTAAACCCTAAACCCTAAACCCTAAACCCGACCCCCCTCCCCGAACCCTCTTCATCTTCTGCCAAGGATCAGCTTGGAGCCGGGGCCCAAGCGAGGGTCATGGATGATGCTGTTCACGGCCGCTTTGGGGCTTTGAATGCTGGAACCCTGGGCCTTCCACTTACTTCGAAAATCCTGAGCAACTTGTAGTACCTCTGTTGATGATAGAATAATAGGAGTTCTGCCTTGCCTTAAAGACCCTAAACTATGGGAATTCTGGCACGGTATATTCATTGTTCTGGGCAATGCAGGGTTGAGATCATCAGCTGTAGTCCTCAGAATGTCTCATGAAACTTGTTATACTATAGCATAATATACCCCCAAGCCCTTTTTAAACTTTCTGATCAGTAAAGCCCCTTGGTTACGTCTTATACACGTATTCATACTTTTAGCCACATTGGTTCTGGTTATTGAGGCCCTTTTGTGAATTGTTGCGTGAGGGATCGAGTTCTGGCGCCGTGAACGCCACACACAGTCACACACACCGAAACGCAAAGCCACACGCACTCTCTCGCGCTCCTTCTCTCTCTCTCTCTCGCCCTCGCTCTCTCTCTCTCTCTCACATATGATATATGTATATACACATATGTATTACATATATATGTATATATAGAAAAATGAAACATGTATAGATACAGGTTGCGCCTGCATCCCAAAGCCATGAGATGCCTCATAATCCAAGGGGGCCACTGACTCCTATGACTTCCTTCAGTCGTCTTACCGCGCAAGTTTCCAAGGATCGCTTTCGAGGCGCCTGTCTTAATGGGGTTTGGGCTTAGGGTTTTGGGTTTTGGGTTTTGGGTTTATGTGTTTGGGTTTAGTGGATGTTTATCATGCAGAACTTTGGTTCTAGGGTTGAGCGTTTAGGGCCGTTTAGGGCTTGGTTTCGTTTTGTGCAGTGTTCAGGGTTTGGGGTTGGGACATCGGATTTTTCACTCACAGTGACACGGTCAAAGCTGATTGTATAGAGGCAGGGGCACCACATTGTACCCTAAACCCTAAACCCTAAAACCCTAAACCCTAAAACCCTAAAGCCCTAAAGCCCTAAAGCCCTAAACGCTAAAACCCTAAAACCCCTAAGCCCTAAAACCCTAAACCCCTAAAACCCCTACGCCCTAAACCCCTAAAACCCTAAAACCCTAAACCCCTAAAACCCCTAAGCCCTCAAACTCTAAAGCTCTAAAGCCCTAAAACCTCTTAGCCCTAAAACCCTAAAACCCCAAAGCCCTAAAACCCTAAACCGGTAAGATTCGACCTGCGGAAGCTTGAAACCCGAAACCCCCAAGCCCCAAGCCCCAACCCCTAAACCCCGAAACCTCAAGACTCTGGTTTAGGGTTTTAGGGTTTAGGGAATAGGGTTGAGGGTTTAAGGGACAATAGAAGGGAGCCCTAATCCTAATACCCTATAGAACCCTTATCTACCCCCTTATATAGTCTCATAAAGCCCCTATATAACCCCAACCCCAGAATGGCAGGATTCATATGGGTAGTTCTCTAAGTTAGGGTCCCCCTTATTTGGTCCCCAACATAGTACGTCACCCTCTAAAAATGACGCTACAAGGGATCCCAATTTAGAGAGCTACCCCTTTACAAAAAGCCCGAATTGAAGGCCCCGAGTTCCAGAATCAGGTTCCTACTACATGAACTCGAAGAAGAAGCCCTAAGCCCTGAACCCTGAGCCCTAAACCCTAAGCCCTGAACCCTGAGTCCTAAACCCTAAGTCGTAAACCCTGAGTCCTAAACCTTAAGTCGTAAACCCTGAGTCCTAAACCTTAAGTTGTAAACCCTGAGTCCTAAACCCTAAGTCATAAACCCTGAGTCCTAAACCCTAAGTCGTAAACCCTGAGTCCTAAACCCTAGGTCTTAAACCCTGAGTCCTAAACCCTAAGTCCTAAACC